GCCCCGCCCGATGGTTGCTTTCCCGAAGTCATGGAAAGTAGGGAGAGAAAAAGGCAGGCCTGAGCCCAGGCAGCCTGGACCCCAAGTTCATGGCCCTGTGAAGCTCCCCACTGGGTTTCTGGGGTCTTTCCTTTTCTGAGTGCTGTGCCCCCTTCCCCGCCGCCCCCTCCCCACTGGGAGACTTGCTCCAACGGGGCTCCAGGCTCAGGCTCTTTCTGCTACAGGAGCTGTCCTCACGGCCCCGCAGTGTGAAATGCGCTCACAGTGTGCAAAGCCTCTCCCATCCCTTACGCCGTTAGTGTCCCCGAATCCCTTAAGGAAGGAGAGGGCTGCTGTCACCCCCACTTCACAGACGTTAAAATGAAGGCGACGGCTCCCTTCCCAGGGAGCAAAGGGCTTCACACATTGGACCACTTCACCTGCACATCCCCCCTGAGACGGAAGTGCCATCGGCCCAGCCTACAGATGCTGCAGCTGAGCCCAGAGAACGACATCCTTTGCCTGCATTTACACAGCTGGGGTGTGGCTGAGCCAGTACTTCCTCCCAGGTCTCGTGGCCCCCAAAGCCCCAGCTCTTCACCACTTTGGACTTGAACTTGAGCTGGATCTAATCCTGTTTCAATGAATGGTATCAATCATTCTGACATCTAATCTGATCTAGTGCCAAGTGATGGCTAATCCCGCCTTCCCCAGCCCCTCCCAGAGGAAGGGTCTACAGTTCTTTATGGAAGGTTCAGTCCTGCCATTTCCTGAGCCAATCAGACAACATTCATTCATTCATTCATTTACTCATCCCTTCACCTAAAAGGCATGAGCACGTGCCTGTCCCAGCAACCGTGTAGACGCTGGTTTCTGAGTGTCCGTAGTCATGGGTCCTGCCCTGGGAGAGTTCACCGCCTGGAGCAGGTTGGTTAGAAACCTGCCCCCTCTGTGGCTGCACCCTGCAGAGGCCCACATGTACCTTGGTGTACTCAGTACAGAGGAAAACTGTCTGTTCTGAGTTCGCTGCTCAGCAGTTCCCATGGATACCAGATCACAATAACGAATTAGACCAAATCAAGTGCAAACCAAGTGTCTGATTCAATCTTTGATATAATCTGCTTCCAGCCTTTTATCCCCCTGCATTTATTTCAATCACTCATTCAACATTAACTGAATACCTATAAGGCTCTATATTTGAATGAACAAGGTAATAATATTCTTAATAACCGCCACCATAAAAAGCAAACCCCCAAAAGAACATGTATTGAAAACTTACTTTGTGCCAGGCACTATTCTAAGGATTCACACGCATTCATTCATTCTCCCACCACAGCCCTTTGCGGAAGGAACTGCTATTGTGCCCTGACAGGATGAGGAGACGGAGACAGAAGCAATAAGGATTTTGCCCACTGAGTGGTATTGGGCAGGTAATCATCATCAGATTTCTGGGTGATCTATATATAAAAAAGGCTAATATGCAAAGTGTCCCCTCGGGAGTTTGACCAAGAGACCAGGAGTTCAATCACTTGCTATGAGGTCTGCTGACCACCAGGGGGCGGCACAGAATGAAGGAAGGCCCCGGCCGGCAGCCGGGGAAGGGGGCCCTGGCAGCAGCCAGAAGGCCCCCCGATCAGCCCTGATCGCTGGCCAGGCCTAGGGACCCTACCCATGCATGAATTTCATGCACCGGGCCTCTAGTGTAAATATAATCATATCTAGAGTTAAGACCCTCCCCCCAGCAGGCTGCCTCTTCTTCCTGGTCCCTGATTTCAGCATCAATCTTGCACATGCTTGTGCTTTTAATGCAAAGCCCCATGAAAATAAACACACCACCCATCGGCTCGGGGCCTGCAGTCTGGCGCCAAGACTGTGCCCTCGGTGGCCCAGCCAGTGTAGCTCAATGGTTGAGCATCGACCTATTGTGCCACGCCAGCACAACCAAGGGTAATCCCGAGTGGGGGGGTGAAAGGATTAAGGAAAGACAGACAAGAGAATAATAGCTGGGTCTCGGTGGGACGCTGCTCCCTGATGAGGAGGCAGCGCCCACAAGCCGTGTCTTTATTTTATAGCAGATGCCACGAGGCAAAGTAGGGGCGTGATCACGTTGTTTACAGCATTCTCGTGAGTTTCAACATCACTCAACTACATGCACCTGAACTCTATCACAAGGCACGTGGGGCCACGTGTTCGGACCATAGGTTCACGCTTACAACCACAGCCGTTGGCTATGATTGTGCTGGGCCTGCCCTCCAGCTGGGACTTGCACGTGGCAATGAGAGGACCCTGTTCTTTCATTAGCCCGAGGCTTGAACCTGGCCAAAACACCGTAACCGCGCCCCATACCTATAAACCAGGAGGTCACGGTTTGATTCCTGGTCAGGGCACATGCCCAGGTTGTAGGCTCAATCCTCAGTGTGGGACATGCAAGAGGCAGCCAATTGATGATTCTCTCTCATCGATGTTTCTATCTCTCTCTCTCCCTCTCCCTTCTACTCTGAAATCAATAAAAACATATTTTTTTAAAAAGACTCTATCCTCAGTGGACTAAACTCAGAATTGAGGTGTGGGGACCCACCCAATGGCTCTAGGACAGGAGGTCTTTGAGAAGCATCGGGTGGGTGTGTGACTCCTTTTCCCCTCTGGCCTCTTCTCCGATCCCCACACACCCCTTCCCTCCCCGTGATTGCATGGAAGGCAGGTGCTGAGCGGATGAGAATCTCGCGGGATGTGAGCAGGACAGGTGCTGGGAAAGCCCCATTCTCACGCAGCGGTAGTGGAAGTCAGTGGACAGAGGGGGTCCTCCTTGCTGAGATACGAGTGGACTGCATCCATGCGTCATAGTTCCCCTAAAGCAGTGGGGACAGGGGCGCCTTCCTTTCTTTCTTTTTAAAATATGTTTTTATTGATTTTAGAGGGAGGGGGAGGGAGAGAGAAACATCAATGAGAGAGAAACATCGATCGGTTGCCTCCTGCATGCCCCCTACTGGGGACTGAGCCTGCCACCCAGGCATGTGCCCCGGGAATCGCACTTTCCCGACTTCTGGACAGTGTGCCCCAGCCAACACGAAGCGCCCTCCCGGCCCCGGTGGCCGCCCCCACCCTGCTCTGCGCCTGGCACCGCATTGCTGCTCTTTCCCCTCGTTTTTATGCAGAGCATTTGCCTCCTTCCGAATCGGGAAGGAGGTTAGAAGAAAATAGCTCGCAGCTGCCCGAGGCCGGTGCCTCCTTTGTTCGGCTGCGCAGGGCTGTGCGCTGGTTTCCACGTGGCTTCGTGACAGGCGTGGCTCTTCCTCCAGCATCTGTAGTGGATGCTACTGGGGCTCTGCCCCTCGTGTCCCCAGCCCTCCTTGGACATCGGCTGCAGCACTGTCCCCAGTGAGGAAAGGGGCGCTCACTTCCCCCCGGAACCACCCTCCATCAGCGGGGCACAGCGGTCAGGGGTACACACTCCAGCCTCCCACTGCTCAGGATGGTTCCTCAGAGGGTCCCTGGTGAGAGGGGGCCCAGTGGCCTACGCCAGTGACCAGCTTGCTCTGCACACATGGCTGGTGTCCCCTCCTTGCCTGTCCCACTCCCTGGCTCCCTCACTGTGGCCTCCTGGGCTCACCTCCCAAGTAAGCTCCCTGCACCCAGGCTCTGCTTTAGGGAGAAGCCAAAAGTAAGACCAAAATGTGAGTGGGGCTGGCGGAGAAGGTGAACAAGAGGGGGGCAAAGCCTTGGCTTAGGTGTCAGAAGACCCGAGTTCTAATCCTACGTCACTGTTTCACCAGCACCTCGCACAACGGAAACCGGTGAGTCAGATCTGCGAGTGAATGAGCGTGAATGATGGGAGGGGCTATTTTGCTTGCTTTGCAGATTTGGAAACAGCGGATGGCATTTTTAGGGCTCGCCGACAACTTCTAGACAAACTCTGTCATCCTCTGATGGTAAGGCTCCCGCCGCTGGAGTTAGCGTGACCGTCTATCTGACTTTCTTCGCAGAGAAATGTGAGCGGAAGCGATGTGCTTCACTTCTGGACGAAGCAGTTTGGAGCCAGATACTCCCTGTTCCCTTCCCGCCCTGGCCAACCCTGAAGCTGTGTGTGGAGAAGGAAGTGCCAGAAGATGGAAGCAGCTGGACTATTGAGTCATCTCGCAGGGGACAGTGGCTCTGGAGTTCCCCAGACTGGCAGGGTGTGTGTGTGTGTGTGTGTGTGTGTGTGTGTGTGTGTAATAAACTTTTGTGGTTTCATTCTTTTGAGCCACTGAGATTTTGGGATCTTACTTGTTGCTGCAGCATAACCTAGCGCATCCTGACTGATCCACAAACCAAGCCCCAAAGGAGCCAACAGCAGAGCTGCGCCTAGAACCTGGGCCTTTCCTCTCCATCCAGGTAACTCCCATCTCTGACCGAGGCCTCTGCTCATCTCCCTGGATCTGGCAGCAGGACAGTGCGCCCTGCTCCGATGGACCAGTCTCCAGTGAGCTCCTTAAAGCCTCCGTCCCTAACCCACCCGCTGGCCTCAGCTTACTCATTCCTGCCAAGAAGAGTTTGGACAAGATCCGTGTCCTGAAACTGCTCTGCAGAGCCCCCTGGTTCCCCAGAGGTGTCCTGGGTGGGGACTGGTGGATGGAGGCTGGCTCCTGCCCTCCTCCTTTAAAGAGAACAGCTCCTCCGGCATCTGTTTTGCATTTGGGGCTTTCACATTAGAGACGATCCATTGGTAGCAGTTTGACGCGCGTGGGGCTGGCTGACCCATGGATCCAGCAGTTTGATCCACGTGGGGCTGGCTGATCGGTGACTTCAGAATGAGGGCATTTTACCTGCAGGCCCCTGGACTCATCTGTTCCCACCCACCCTGTCCCAGTGCCGGGTTCCAGGCCCCTAGCCCTGACTCCCAGCCATCCCATGGTGCTCAGGTCTCTGGTGTGAACAGTCCCAAGAGGACACTCTCTGTGGACATGGCCTGTGTGGCCAGGGTGTGTGAGCACCACATACCCACGTGGCTCCTGATGGGTCAGCCAAACCCAGAGCCTCACCTTGGGCTGTGGACGGTGCAGAGGGTGGGACTGGGGATCTGGAGACCTGGTCTCTAGCCCCAGCTCCATCGCCCCCTCCCCGAGCGTTACCTTTTCTGTGAAAGAATATTACCCAACAGTAGAGAGCCCGGCCAGCATGGTGCCAAGCAGGTGACAGGCCATAATGAAGAATGTGCCACGTGAGGCGTAGGAGAGGGAAGGGTGAGGGCTTTGGGCTGCAGGAGAAAAGTCAGAGGCGTGGGAGCTCGCTGCAAAGCTCCATGAGACGCTCACAGACAGGGTTAGCGTGATTTCCTACAGTAATGATGGCCACTATACAATGTTTTCTGTGTGTTTCTCTAGAACAGCAGCCCCATGGGGTCAGTGTTGGCCATGGCAAGGGTAAGGGCCAGTGGCCCTGGGCCGGGTGGAGATGCCAGAGGAGCCGGATGAGCACTCGAGGTCTTGATGCTAAAGGGGCAGAGGGCGGAGTGAGGCGAGTGGAGGGTGGAGGACAGCAGCTTGGGACCCTGGGATGGAAGGGACAGGCGGAGGATGAGCCCACAGGTATGTGGGGACTCTGCTCTCCTGGCCTGGACATGTGTCTCTGACCCTGATACTCCTTCCTATTCGGAGTTCAGAGGATGCTGGAGACAGTGGTCCTGCTGACTCAGCCTCCCTCGCGTCCCCCGGCTCACGCCCTTGAACTTTGGGGAGCCTGGAATTGTGGAAACCTGACCCCACCATGCTCACGACACCCCACCCTTCTGAGTCACATGATCTAATTGTAAGTCATTCACATTTTCCCCCCCTTAAGCTCATGAGTTAAGTTGGTCTTTAGTAAGAGAAACAATTCTCACTAATACATTCCCTAAGGCTAATGTCTCTTGGGTGTCATTTCTGAGTCCTGATGTGAAAACATTGTTTGTTTTAAAGATTTTTCCAGAGTCACCCAGACACTTACACACTCACAGTCCCCGGCTACACCATCTCCCTGGGTGTATGAGTTCTCTGTTACTGTGTAAGGAATTATGTCCAAGTGCAGTGCATCAAAGAACAGTAACCACTGATTATCTTGCAGTTTCTGAGGCTGGGAATCCCCGAGTGGCTGAGCTGTGCCTCTGTCCCAGCATCTCCCGCGAGGGTGCAGTCAAGACGTCGACCCCGGCAGCAGCCTCATGCGAAGGTTCCATGGAGACTGGGGGCTCCGCCTTCAAGGTGCTCACTCCTGCAAACGGAACATTGGCACTGGCTGTTGGCAGAAGGCCTCCGGTCCTCACTCCACGGGCCTCTCCATAGGGCTGCTTGCGCGTCCTCATGACACGGCAGCTGGCTTCCCCCAGCTGGCTTCCCCCCTGCTGCTCAGAGGTCCAGCTGTGACCAGGCTGCAGAAGCCAGTCATGGTCAGTTCTGCAATATCCTGCTGCTCAGAGGTCGGCCCTGCTCAGTAGGGAGGACCACACAGGGGAGTGAGTACGAGGAGGGAAGGATTATTGGGGGCCATCTTGAGGGGTGCAGAACTGGGCCACCTGCTAGCTGTGACTAGGGCACCTTCCTAGCATCCTGCCACCTGGGGAGAAAGGCTTGCCCCACCCCACTCTGCATGAGCCAGTCTCATCAGAAGGGAAGTAGCACCATTACCATCCCTGTGGGTGGCTGCTCCAACCCCTACCCCCAGCCCTGGGGCTCCCCGGACCCTGGGGAGGGCAGCCTCAGGCCCAAGCTGGACACCAAGGCAGTGGGCTCATCTGCTTCTCCCCCCGAGTGCAGGAGACCAGTGATGGCTGGGAGGGCGGGGGGAGCGGGTACTACTGTATCTGATGTGGATCCTTTGGTTTTCTTCTCTGACAAGGTCATGTGCGATACCAGGTTGGACCACAGGGACGGGGTTGGATGGGACCCCGTGATGGGACAGGGGTCAAAGCTACTCTTTCTAAACATGAAATGTGCAGGAGCCAGAGACACATCCATCGGTTGCCTCCTGCACAAGCCCCAACCAGTGATGGGGAAGAGGAGACGTGTTTGGGGGGCTAGCAGTCTGAATCCGTGCCAGTAACAGATGCACATTCTTGTTAGCCTACACCTTTAATTATCTGGTCTCGCAAGACTTGTTTACCTAAATACTACTCCCATTTCAGAGAGGCCATAAGCCATCCCAGATGGAGTTATCAGTGCTGGCACCAGGCCAGGCCTTGAGATGTGTGCCCACTGCCCCCATCCCAGCACATGGGGCTTTTTGCAAAGCCCGCGAAAGGTCCGGCCACCCCGTTCCATATTTGGGAGACAAAGAGACCTAGAGAATATAAAAAGGGAAAGCCTCCTCCATGTTAAGGCTCAGGATTTGAGAGAAACAGCCTCCCCTGCGTCCTGTCCATGAGCAACATCTGAAGATAAATGGGTTTTTCCTGTGTATTTTCCGGTTGCCTGGTAAATTCTGTAACACCAGGGCTGGGGAACGAACCTGCATCCCAGGTATAGAACCCGAGACCAATGCTGTACCACTGAGCAACACTGGCCAGGGTAACCAGGGCTGTTTTAAAATCTCATTTAAAGTGGTGTAGCCCAGCCGGCATGGCTCAATGGTTGAGCATTGACCTAGGAACCAGGAGGTCATGGTTTGATTCCTGATCAGGGCACATGCCCGGGTTGTGGGCTCGATCTCCAGAGTGGGGTGTGCAGGAGGCAGCCGATCAATGATTCTCTCTCATCATTGAAGTTTCTATCTCTCTATCTCTCTCCTTTCCTCTCTGAAATCAATAAAAATATATATTTGAAAAAGAAGGAAAATGGTGGTGTAGGAGGGAGCAGGGCCTGTGGACCAGACAGGTTCAAATCTTGGTTCCAACACTGGCTATTTTTCCTCAGCCAAGACAACTGGATGTTCTGATCCTCAGTTTCTGCATCTGTGAAATGGGGATAGTAGTGTCTACTGCTAGTGTTGATGAGAATGTGGGTGAAGCCCCAGCACACACCTGGCACTGAAGGCAACGTCCTTGTACCGATGGTTGTTAAGCTGATGTCCATGAGAGGAAGAGCAGGAGGCGGACTTTCTACAGAGCAGGGAGGGGCGGAGTGACTGAGGCTGCGGGAAGCCTGGGCTCTCTGTGGAAGGAACAGGAGGGGGCATAGCTGGGGCTGGGAGCTTTAGGGAGGGGGTAGGAGGGTGCTGTTACCTAGATTGGCGGCCTGAGGGGCTCCGGGTTCCTAGGGTGGGGGTAGAGGCTGCTGTTTGCTCTGGCCTCCACTCTGAATCCCCATTCACAGGTTGCCTGGCAACCATTGTTCATTTAATCGCCCTTGCCTTTGAACATAAAAATCAATTTCCTTGATGACATGAGCCAGAGAGTCCAGGTTCACCCCCATGTTTAAATAGTCCAATTTTGTTGCTCAAAGATTTATGAACAAGGATGAACACGGAGCATTGCTTATCATAGGAAAAGTTTTTAGAGGCGTTGAACCTAAGTGTCTTGCCAGAAAGGTGTGATTAAATCAAGGCTCTTTCCTGCCACAGAATAATAAAAGCCGCAGCTGGAGCTGTAGGTGTGCCCACAGGGAAACAGCCTCACAATGCGCGTGGAAATAACGAGATGTCGCAGAACACTGTGCAGCGTCTTGCCTTTTTAATGAACAAAAGAGAGCGTGTGGGCGCACACATGTGCCCATCGACGAAAACATTCTGGAAAAACACACAGCAAAATGTTCACAATGATTTTCTCTGGGGAATAGATTGTAAGTCATTTTAATTTTATTTCCATCTTTCGGGAGCATCTGATTTTAAAAATAAAACCAGCCTGTGTGCCTTTTTCAATCTGCAAAACCAGTCATGTCGTTTCTCTTTGCAAATGGAGAATTCTAACTCTGGGGGCCAAGGGGCCCTCGAGGGGCCAATGAGGGGTGAGAAGACAGGGCCAGAGGGCCAGGCTGGGGCCAAGCCGGGGAGCAGGAGGGGGAGGCGCCGACACTTCCCCGGGGTGGTGAGAGCCCTCCCGGGTAGTGAGTCCCTACTCTGGTCTGGAAGCTGAGGAGGGGGATCCCCACTGTCGTGGAGGCCGGACCAGATGCCTTCTAGGTTCCTGCAAGTGGGGAGATTGAGCCAGTTCACTGAGCGGGCGGGAGAAACGGGGCACAGACAACACGCTGAGACCAGCTGACAAAGGCCAGGGGCAGCAGGGGAGCCCACCCCCTTTGACCACTCCTCTCCCTCACCCTCTCTCCGGGCTGTGTCCCCTTAAGTTCTCTCTTAGCTTCACACTCTACACTAAGCATGTCAAACTCACGGCCGGCGGGCCGGGTGTAGGTGGGAGGGTGGATGGATAGATGGATGGATGATGGTTGAATGGAAGGGTGGATGGATGGATAGATGGATGAATGTAGATGAGTGGGTAGATGGATAGATAAATGAATGAGTGGATGGATGGGTGGGTCAATGGTGAATGAATGAGTGGATGGGTAGGTGGGTCAATGGTGAATGAATGAGTGGATGGGTAGGTGGGTCAATGACGAATGAATGAGTGGATGGGTAGGTGGGTCAATGATAAATGAATGAGTGGATGGGTAGGTGGGTCAATGGATGAATGAATGAGTGGATGGGTGGGTGGGTGGATGGATGATTGGGTAGGTGAGTGAGTGGGTGGATGAATAGATACTGGAATACATTGTTCCTTTCAATATATGAACATGTAATTTCTCCCATCTTAAAAAATAACACACAAAAACTCCCTTAATCCTACTCCCGCTCCTTTCTTTTCTAGCAAAGCTCCACAGACCAGATGTCCACCATCCCAGTCTCCATCTCCTTTCATGGTCTCTGTAGCCTCTCTAGTCAGGTTTCCACTGCTCCCTGGAAACTGCTGGACACGGTGGCCAAGGACCCCTGCACTACAAATCTCTAATTATTGAACTTTCACAACATGCAACACACTACTTTCTCTTTTTTAAAAAATATTTTTGTTGATTTCAGAGAGGAAGGGAGAGGGAAAGAGATAAAAAAAAAACACACACATCAATTATGAGAGAGAATTTTTGATCAACTGCCTCCTGCATGCCCCACACTGGGGGGTTGAGCCCAGAACCCAGGCATGTGCCCTGAC